AAAAAAACGGATCAGGTAAGGGAACTTCTACCTTGATATTCCGCCCTCCGATCATAACCCCGTTCATTTGCTCTAGTGCCAATTGAGCCGCTTCCGGTATGTCGTATTCGACAAATGCGAATCCCTTGTGTTTCTGAGTCACGGGATCCCACGACATGTTTATCGATTTTATGGGTCCGAATGGTAAAAATGCTTGACGTATAGTATCCTCCTTCAATTCGAAACTTATGCTCCCCACGTAAACCCTAACAAATATACACAATTTATTATTTTTTTTTTTTTATTATGATGAGCAAGTATGAAAAAAAAAAAATTATCAAGCAAGCAAGCAAGCACAGGGTAATATCGATAGATGAGCGAGAGAGGGGAAGAGAGAGGGGCAAGGGGAAAAGAGAGAGAGAGAGAGAACATTCTAAATACCACAAAATCATATCTTATCAGCAAAACATCATTGATAAGCAACGTCAAATCGTCAAAATGATTCGGAGCTTAACTCATCGATTCTTTTTCAAATCATCATTTTTGTGATATTTAGAAAATTTTATCATATTTCATAAATACCTGATAGGTATTTAAAAATAATTCATTCTAAATTCAAAAAAAAGTTAAATATTGTTAAAATGATTCTCTTCGCTTGTTGGAGAAAAAGCTAAATGTTATGATTAATTAATTAATTAATTACGGAAATAATAATAATAATAGGTAATTTACTTACCTGCACATAAGTGCGAGTGCTTGTTGCCTTTGAACTTGATTTCTTTGACTTGCCATTTGCTGGAAAAGAATCACGGAAATCACATTCCATCAGTATAATTCGTGAGTTATTCATATTGTATTTCGTACAAACGGGGAATTTTCATGAGAAACCATCAGTTTTTTTTTTTTTTTTTTTTGTCTATTATAGTTAATAAATATTTTTTTAAAAAAAAAAAAAAAGCCGCAATGGCAGCGTTTCAAGCGAACAAACTATATAATTTTTTTTTTTTTTTGTAAGTTAATAATATTACTTACATAAATTTTAACAGGGTTATGGGGGGGGCAGGGACAATTCTAAAATAATACTACTTTTTTTTTTTTTTTTTTTTAAAGTTAAAAAAAAAAAAATATTTAGGAATGGATTGGCTAACCTGGACATTAAAAGGATCCATTGTTGCCGTAGGTGTTGCTTATTTTTCTAGAAAAGGACCAGGAAAATATTAAAAGAGTGTGGAGAAGAGAAAAAAAAAAAAAAAAAAAAAAATTTTTACGGGTAATAAATTAACCTAATCTTTATAAATTATAATTTTTTTTTTTTTTTAAAGGGTTGTTAGATGTAGCTTTTCAGGCCTGAAAAAAACCTCAGGTTCATCAGGCGACCCACATATTCGTCATTTGTTTTAGAAAAAAAAACATTTGCGAGCAAGGATGAAATATTTTTCATCATCATCAAAGCTATAATTTTCCTTTTAAATAATAATAATAATAATAATAATAAAACTTTAACCGTAATTTTTATGAGGAAAAAAAAAAAAATAATAATCGTGAAAAAGGAACATTTTTCAAACGAAAAAATGAAAAAAAATAAATGAATAAAAATTTTACCTGCTGTTGATGTGCTAAAGTTTGCTTCATTAAAACCATTTTAATGCTTTGCTCCATGGCGTATTTTTTTGCCTTTTTAACAGCTTCTTCTTGATCGGAAGTCAATTTGGGAAGACCTCCTCCTAAAACACTGACCAAGGCTGACTTCGCACCGGGGCCTATAAAATAAATATCATACGTCCTTTAACTTATAATTATAAATTTAACAATAATTTTGATTTGGCTAAAGCTGAAATGCAACAGGGAAAATTTTTACTTATTGAACGAAAAATCAGTAAAATAATGAATGAAACTCACCTGGTACTAGAGCACCAGTTTGATTGAGGTCATAGATCGGTCCGGGAAGAAATTCAGAGGCTATGCTCTCTCCTATAACAATACAAAAAAAAGAATTAAATTTTTGATTAAATTAAAAGGGAAAGCGATTATTATTATTATGTCGTTTGTGTTATCTTAAGTAATAACCAATAATATTAATAAAGAATAAAGGCTAGCAATATAAGAGAATTTATGATAATAAAAAAGTTTCAACCCCTTATTTATTATTTTCATTCTTCATTTTAAAACAATTTTTGTTACGTTTTTAAATAAATAAATAGATACGGAATTTATTTTTCAAATTGTTGGTAAAGACCTTAAGACCTAATACATAAACTTAAATGTAAGAAAAGTTTATAAATTATTATTAAAACGTTATAAAAAAATGTATATTTCTTACAAAAAAAAAAAAAAAAAAGAAAAAAATGCTTATAAATTTATAAGCACCTGATAAAATCAATGAAAGCACTTATGATTTTAATTGTTGTCACTGTTAAACGAACATTTTATTCAGTTTTTTTCTCTAAGAATCTAAATAAAATATATTTTACCAAATTCGAGTCAAGTTGTTGTTGTTAATCCTATCATTTTGCTTTATTTAAAATCATTTTTTTTTTGTCTCCACACATTCATTTAGCTATAAGAAAAGATTCTTATTTAGAAAAAAACTGACTACTAACAGAAAACTTATACAAATTAACCTTTACCAAAAAGGGTCATGTCAGATGGTGGTATGTGAAGGAGGTCCCCTCAATCACGTAGTCCGCATCATGGTTGTATCATATCATCTCAACATGACAACCCTACCCATAAAAACACAAAAGAGAAAGAACAAAAACCGATTAAAAATGCCATAGCAATTTGAATTAAAAAACAAGACTGTGATTATATAATTATTCAGAAACTTGTAAGCAGAGTATAAAAATTTAAAATTTTTAACATCATTATTAATACATTATTCGTGAAAATAATATCAACATTTTTTTAAAACTGTTACAAGTTTTTGAAATGAAAGATTGAACAATTGACAAAAAATTTTTTTAATATCACAGCTTCTTAAAACAGTTAAAAATAATATCCAAATGTAGAGGCTGCTTCTTTTCTGGAGCACCAAAAAACATTACAACAGCGTATCTAACCATCTGCGAACAATAAGCAGAGAGAAAAGAAAATTTAATAATGTGCTATCATCATGTTTTTTAATAGTATAATTAGTTGCTCTAAAATCTCTCTCGAATTTAAAACTTTATGTTTCTTCTAATGTTTAATCTCACAATTAATCACCAATAAATACTTAATTAAATAACTTAATGTGCTGTCAAGTTCCCACGATGATTAATATAATTTCATTTAATTATAAAATACATTTATAACAATAATATTTTCAACAATATTTTTAAAAAAAAAAAGAATACAAAATTATTTTATAAATACAAAAACACCTTAGAAACTATGAAAAACTAAAATCTGCAAATATAATTCTAACATTACTTAGTGTAAATAAATTTTTAACAATTCATAAAAATAAACTCCTTATCGATTCCAAAAAAAGTAAACAATATTTAATAATTGGAGTAACAAAAAAACTATTTTTCTCCAAATATTAAATTTCATTCAATATTCTGAATTTATACAATATGTTATACAGTATCTTAAAACTTTACAATTGTAACATTTCTTTGGTAAATAAAACTTTTTAAACAATTACATTACTTTCGATTATTTTTTATACTATAATTATTAAACAAATTAAAATTAAAAGTATTGCCAAATATTTTACATTTTAATTAAACCATTTAATTTTAGATAATTTATGTATGTGTACACAAAAATGACCATAAAGTGATCTAAACAATAAATTGTTTGCGACTTAATAATATATAACACGATTTTACATTAATACAAAATAAAATACAGTAAAAAAGAAATAAATATACTAAATAGATATTTTTTTTTTAAATAAGATTTTGATAGTAGTTACAATATATACCTTATTAACATGTATACTAAAATAAAATTACCCCAAATTTTTTTTTTTTTTTTTTTTTTAATAGAAGAATAAATAAATTGATAATCTAAACTTACCTCCCTCAACTTCACCCTTTTTGATTTGAGTTTCTGCATTATTTTCTATAGGTGGTGGAGGCATTGGTGGAAGGGGAGGCTGAGTTGTTGTGGGCTAAAAAAAAAAAAAAAAAAAATGCAAAATTGTATCGATTTGAAAAATTGCTTTAAAAAATAATAATAATAATAATCAAATATTAAATGTTCATAATAAACACATATGAAGTACAAAAAAAAAAGTACAGTTTTAAATTAATTACTCCTATTAATGGCTAAAATTTAGTAGAATTTGTATAAACCGCTACTAGTATCATAGACACGTTTGAAGTTAAAATGCAAAATTTATTCGTAGGAATTATTCAATAAAATAAAGTACACGAACCATTCTGCTACCTCCATTTACGGTACCATAGTTAGAAAATCCCATCATTGTATTGTCTTAGATATAAAATCACTTCATATTTTAAAAAAGAAAGGCATTGTTAATCATAAACGCTAACAATTGCGATCGATTATAGGCGTCACATTACGTCATAGAATATTTCATGTCTAAATATCCGGTTCCTGTATTAGCACCTTTGATGTTATTTGCCGAGTAAAATGTGCGAATTTTCACCGACTACTTCAGAAACTCCGTCTTCGGACAGTAATTTCCGAACCGATTCCCCCTTTTCACGTAAAATTTCTTCTATATTTTTTTTACCATTTAAATCGGTAAACCAATTTAAGTTGTCTGCAATTAAATGATTATTCTGACAACCCTCGCAAGTAATTATCACTACGCCAGATTTATACGCAATCTTTGACATAAATTTCTTATTCCTCGTATTACACTTTTTACAAGTGAATTCGATGTAAAGTTTACCACTTATTGAGTCGGAACTAAAATTATTTTCCGATAAATACCTACTTAAACTTTTTAAATTTAGTAGAGGATTTCTATTGTAATTATTTATAAACCGACTTTTTTCAACGTTTAATGTAAAACCGCACTTAGTGATTGTATTTAAAAAATTACACTTGCCAAGCCGTAAAAGTGAATTAAACGTTCTAAAGTAACATTGAAAAGCCATTCACTGTTAAGGAAAGAAAAAAAAAAAAAAAAAAAGAAAAGAAAATGCAGACAACTAAAACCAATTTCCTTTGTCTCTATGACCAAAATTTGTACTAATGAAGTAATATATTGGGTTGCAAGAACCCAAGTTTAGTAGCAAACAAAATGGCGTCGGAAGATATTGTAGTGTTGACAAACAAATTTAACTTAGATTTTTTATTTACCTCAATGAAAATTTTAGGAAAAGCTTTATAAAAATTAATAATGGGATATATTGTATTCGCAATAAATATGATTTTGCAAAATGTTCATAATAACTTTAATAGATATTGTTTATAAGAAAATTAAAATTTATTTTAATAAATAAATCAAAATTATTTTTTAATCATGTTATTAATGAAAATATGGTTTTACTGTTTATTTTTTATAATTCAAAACAGTATTATTATTCGTGCTGAGCAAAAAATTTCTGTGGATTGTCCTGCGAAATGCACTTGTAATATTATTCGTGCTAAAGATAGCGGATCTTCCTCAGAAGAATGGTCAAAAGTAAAGTGCGGGCGAAATCATTATGAAAAATTATTTATTGAGGATTTAAAATTAAATGAGGTGGAACCTCATATTTTACAATTGGAACTTGCTCTAAACATCACTGTTTTAGAAAATTCATTTTTAAAATTAATCTCATTAGAAAAATTAGACCTTAGTAAGAATGGAATAGAGGAAATTGATGATAAAGCTTTTATACATCTTACAAATCTAAAAAAATTAGACTTATCTAATAATAAAATTTCTATTCTTCACAAAAAAATTTTTGAACCACTACAATATCTTGAAAGACTCAAAATAAATAACAATTTAATTACTCATGTTTACAGAGGAGTTTTCGACTACTTAACATCATTAAGAAGTTTGTGAGTAAAATATTATTTTATAAATTGTCATTGAAATTAAAATGAAATAATTTTTGAATAAAAATTTTCAAATTAAATAAATTTTATTTTTACAGAGATATTTCTGAAAATCCATTAAATTGTGACTGTTCTTTAATATGGATTATAGAATGGTCAAAAAACAATTTAATTAAATTGATGCAGCTTCCTAAATGTAAATCTCCTCATTCCAACAAAGAAATTTTGTTAAGAAAGTTAAAATTAGACTGTGAAGAAGAATCTAGTTTTTATTCGAAATCATTTAAATTAGAATTGAAACCTATGCATAATCAAATAGTTTTCGAAGGAGATTCACTTAATCTTCGATGTAGGAGTCACACTTTTAGAAAAAATAGAGATGAAGGTAAAGATGCACAAGTTACCTGGTCATGGAAAAATAAAGATCCTACATCTTATTTTGATAAGATAAAAATTGAAAATCAGTCAGTTGTTGAAAATGGTTTCGTGGAAAGCCAGCTTAAAATTGATAAAATTCAAAAGAGTCATGGTGGGGATTGGCACTGTCATTTATTATCAGAATCAGGGAATCATTCAAGCTCAATTTCAGTAATAGTTTTATCAGATGATAGTAAATACTGCCCACAAACTGAAACAAAAAATAACAAAGGAATGTACTTATGGCCAAAAACTATTGGCGGTTTTACTGTTGATCTGCCATGTGCTGTGAAACAACTTAGTATTGTAGGGAAAAAAATTGAGCCAAGAGCAATTCATAGCTGCAACGAAGCAGGGTTTTGGGAAAATTTAAACACAACTTTTTGCCCTTATGTCAGTGAAACTACTCGAATTTTGGAACAGTTTTCCCAAGTTAATTTATCTATTGCCAAAGGAAGTGTTTTGGACAGTGCATTAAAATTAAAAAATTTCACCGGTACTGGAGAAAACTTGACTGATGTAATGGATATTGTTTTCATTTCGAAAACTATTGAAAACTACTTAATGTTTGTGAAACAAGAAAAAGATTTAGGATATGTTTTAGTAGATATAGTGGCCAAAATAATGGAATTATCTAAAAATCTTTTGAAAAATGCACAAAAGGAAGATGCATCATGCTCTAAATTAGTTCAATCTCTTGAAGTGATTTGCAAAGACATACCTAATTTTCAATCACATAAAACAAATTTAGTCGTAGAAGAATTTGGAAGTACAGGAGCATTTTCCGGGATAAGATGCATCTGGTATATAAATACTCATGGTGGGAAGGCTCCTAAAAAATTTTTTCATTGTTCGACAAGTAATAGAACTTTACTTGAAAGTTCTGATAGAATAATTGAAGCTTCAATTCAAATTCCTGCATCTCTTTTTACACAATTAGAGATGCAAGGGAAGCTTACCCATAATATTTGGCAATTAATTATTAGCATGTATGAAAATAATAATTTGTTTCCAAGTCTATCTAACTCAAATGAAGATGTTACTTCTTGCGTTATCGGTTCAAAATTAGGTAAGATCTTTATTGTAGTATGAATAGCATATACAATGCTTTGCGGTTTCCATCATTTAAAATATTTTTGCAGTCGGAGTAGAAGTTACAAACTTGACAGAACCTGTTTACTTAATGTTAAGGGTTCCACCCTCATCATACACTACATTGGCAAAACCTGTTTTATGGGATCAATTTGCAAATAATGGTAGTGGAGGTTGGATTGAAGAAGGTTGCCAATCATCACATTATACACATGGAATGGTAGTATTTCATTGCAATAGGTTTGGATACTTTGGATTACTTCAAGACACAAGATACCTGTATGAATATTCAAGAGGGTAAATAAAAAAATTACACTTAAATTTTATGACAAACTTTAAAAATTTAAGAGGTTATTTATGAGTGACGTCATTCAAAAATTGTTTTTTTAGTTACAATGGCGGTAAATCACGATTGTGCCATCCTGCTATATATACAGGTTCATTTATTTTAATTGTGTGCTTATTAACATCATTTATAACATATGTAATATCTCATAGCTTTATTCAAATGTCAAGAAGAGCCAAACATGCAGTTGTAAATACTTGGATTTCGATATCCCTTTTGTGTTTTATATTTAGGTGAGTAAAGTAAATTTTTTAATTGGATTTTATGAAAATTATTTCAGTGAAGTACTGATTTTTTTTTTTTTTTATTTTAGTTGCGGAATTTATCAGACAGGAAATGCTGCTTTATGTCAAAGCATCGGTATAGTTTTACATTACTTATTTTTGTCCACTCTTCTGTGGATGACCGTTTCAGCGAGTAACATGTACAAAAGGCTATCCAAAGCAGATTCATTAGACACTACTCCTGAAGATGATCTTCCTCCCGGAGCACCCATTCAAAAACCAATTTTGGGACTCTACTTAGTCGGATGGGGAATAGGATTAATTGTTTGTGGAATTTCGGGAGCTGTTAATTTAAAAGAATACGCTGGGAGAAAATTTTGTTTTCTGGAATTCGGTCCCGCATTGAGTGCCGTTTACGTACCAGCAGGCATGCTTTTTTCCTTTTTGATTCTCTTATATATTTTAACGTTATGTGCAATTCGTAATAATGATTTGAATGGGCAGTTGTCCGAAGGGACTCAAGGAACGGAAAATGTCGATTTAGAATTATTAGAAGTTCCTCCTGTGCTGAATACGACTGACAGAAGAAGCGTCCAAAGTATCGTGACGACAGATTCTGATGATATAGAAGATCCTGAGCATTCTCCCATAATTCAGTTAAAAGCTCACATTATCGTATTATTATTGTATTGTTTTATATGCATTTTAGCCGCTCTTTCCCTTGTAGAAAACATGCCAAATACTTTTTTTTACCAGCAAGAGATTTGCAGTATTTTGTATTGTTTACTATCCTTTTGTTTAGGTGCTTTTATTTTATACTTTTACTGTGTGGCAAGAAGCGATGTACGTTCACAGTGGACCATATTAAAAAAAGTTTTCAAAGGTCAAAAATTTCATTGCTGTCGCAGTCGAAGCGTGTCCGATACTCATGGAAATGTTCAAATGACTTCTTCTGTTAATATTCCAAATGGTTCAAACGCGCGTCATACTGTTTCTGCTTTGTCTTCGTCAAGCGTGAATTCGTCAGCCTTAACTGCCAAATCGAATAGTCACAACAGCAATAGAATAAAAGCGGTTAAAAAATTAAATAATTGCGACAGCTTAAAAGAACCGATGAGTGTTCACAGCTCTACTGCAAACAATGTAAATTTGGTAGCCATGCACAGACAAATGTACCGATCGAATATCAGCGTACCGAATTATCGTGAAATAATAGGTCCGGATTGCGCGGAAGCATTTTACAATCCGAGACAGAGTATAGTTGCTCGTAAATTTTTCAAAAAACAAAGACGGAACAAAAGAAACGATTTGGGTTTAAGACGAAGAGGAGATGGAGGTGGCACGAGTGAGGGAGAAGCGTCACAGGCGAGGAGAACTTGGAGACCAAGTGCAGAAAGTGCCGTTTTCCTTTCTTCGGATATGGAAAACGTAAACGAAAAAGGCGACGGAAATCATTTTGTTTACAAATGTAAATTAAATTCCGGAAACAATCATTTACCGAACGAAAGGATAAAAAAGAGTGTTTCCTCAAAGAAAAATAACGGAGAACTAATGATGTCCGATAGCGATGGGGAGAATAAAATACCATTGGATAGATTGGTGATTGGTGCCGAAGAAGAAATGGGTGGTAAATTGCCCGTGGTAAAAACCAACAACGGTCACGTTTCCTCCTACGACTGTTGCCTGAGTCGAGTGGATGAATTGTCCGCATCGGAAGACATGACATTTTCTCCCGCGATATCAAAAGATGCCGACAAGGAACTCCTGTCGGAAAATTCCGCGGTCGGTCACAGTCCGTGTTGCGATTGTAACGACCTGAATAATTTATCAAACTATCGCAACGTCGAACTTCAATGCAGTCTGGGAGAAAACAGTTGTTCGGATATCAATTCCGAGATGAATTATTGCGAATGCGGCGTAAACGTGGATTCTCATTATGCAGACGACAACGGTTATAATTTTTCGGATAAATGCAACAACGTTCGCCATTCGAACGAACATGATAATGATGATAATTCAATGATATCGACAGACGACGTTTTAAATTGCGATTCTTTTAATAAAAAAATAGACGAATTTAATTTAAATACGGATTCGCAACGATTCGATGATGAATTATTACTTTATAATAAGACTGATAGCTCTTTAAATTTAAATAACTCAGCACGACAATGTACAAATGTATTAAATACACAAATAAATAATTGTAATTCAGTTAAAAATATGTCGATTCAATCAGAATGTGAAAATGAAAAAGAATCGTTGATTAATTTTAACGAAATAAATGATAAAACTAAAAAAGAAACAAGCGTTTAAAGTTCAAATAATAATTTTTTATAATTTTTTCTTTTTAAATACTCAAATAGTTTTTTAAAAAATTTGAATCAGTAACAATGAGTTAATCAGTATCAATCAATAGTACAAAATAAATAAAAAATATTTTTAAGTAAATAATAATAATAATTTTTTAAATCAGTTAGAATTCATCTTTTACAAAAAAAAAAAAAGGTTCTATACCCCTTTTTATTATCATTATTATTTTTATAAATTTAATTTTTTTTGAAGTTTTAATCATATTTTTAAACGAATCAGCATTTTTTTTATTTTTTTTTTATATATATAAGAATGTAAATTTTTTTTTTTTTACATTGAAAATATTTATTATAAATCAAATTTTTAAATAATGAAATTGTTTTTTATAAAAAAAAAAAAAAAAATGCAAATCAATGTATTAATCATTATTATTATTTTTTAATCATGTAAATTTAAGAATGTATTATATCGTTCTTAATTTTTTTATAATATTTTTATTATTATTATTAATAGTTTAAATTTTATTAATATTTTGTAAAAAAAAAATTTTTTTGACAGTATTATTTTATTTATTGATATTTTTTTTTTTAATATAAATGTGAATAAATTTTTATGGCTTTTATTAAATATAAAAAAAAATTTAAAAATTGGTTGGTTTTGTATTTAAGTTAAAATGTGCCTGTGCCTGCCTATGCTTTGTTAATCAAGGTACAAAAAATTAATTAATTAAGTTTAAAGGCAGCTTTTTATATATTAGAAAAACTTTTGCTTTTTTATTGAATAAGTTTTAATAATTAATATTTTTGTGATTTTTTTTTTTTTTTATAAAAATTTATATTGGATTAAAATATAATTTAAAAAAAAATGATGGTATTTACTGAATGATACTTAATAAACCTTGTCAAAGATAATAATAATAATAATTATTATATAGATTTTTGGCTAATGATTTCTTTTATGCCTAATAACAATTAAAAAAGAATTAAATGGATTGTAAATGTTTAATTAAGTAGAAAGACTTTTTTTTTTAATCCGTTATTTAGTTTTATAAATAAATTTATTGATTTTTTTTTTTAATATTTTTGTATCAATTTTGGAAATTTAAAAAAAAAAAAATGGTTACGCAGATGCATGTATAATTGCATGCACCGTTTAAATATAATCATGTTCAGATAAATGAAAGTTTTATAATTTTTTGTTTTTTAAGAATTGGATTTGTATTAATTATTTGAAGAAATAAAAATATCATGCGATTGTCAATCATTTTAAATTCAATAAAATATATCGAATTTTAAATTTTTTTTCAAAAACGAAAGTTTTAGTTAAGAAAATTGAATATTATGTCGTGGCAATAGTAAGAGCGGATTCCGCCATTTTGTAACAAGTACGCTTGTTTTGGTTTTTATTTTTTTTTTAATAATTGAAATGATAGCTTTCTAAAGAAATGTTTTTGTTATTTTAAAAAGAAATTTTTATCAATCAGACAAAAGTCATGTACATTAAACAGGTATTATTTAAAGTTATCTATGTTTTATTGTAAATTATTCCCCGTATTATTTTTATTTACAAATTTATATTTCTTTCATTATAAATACTTTACACTGTAGGTTTAAAAATAATTTAAAATTTACTTTGAAGCTTATTTTAAATTTTATAAAATTGGATAATAATATAATTAAGTAATTTTATTTTACAAATTATGTTTAAAAATTTTAGAGTTTTAACAATATAATAGTAATTAAATGTATACTCAAATAAAATTATATTGAGTTTAATTTATTTTTTTGATTTTTAAACAGTAGTTAAAGTAAATTAAACATTTGTCAGGAGTTATTATTTAATTTTAATCATAGTTTCGTTTTTAATTACAGGTTATTATACAAGGTTTTAAAAGTTATAGAGAACAAACAGTTGTCGAGCCTTTCGATCACAGGCATAATGTTGTAGTAGGTCGTAATGGGTCTGGTAAAAGTAATTTTTTTTATGGTAAGCCAAACTATTAATAATTATTAAAATGAGATTTAATATAATCTACATAATAACATATATTTTATTTATTTTTTTTCAGCAATTCAATTTGTACTCAGCGATGAATTTTCTCATCTTAGACCAGAACAAAGGCAAGCTTTGTTACACGAAGGAACAGGACCAAGAGTTATGACAGCATATGTCGAGATTTTATTCGATAACTCTGACGGCAGAATACCAGTAAGTTTTAAAATCTTTTTGTTAAAAGTTTCACCTTAAAATTTGTTTTATATATATATATTTACTTTATAGATAGAAAGAGATGAAGTACCACTTCGAAGGGTTATTGGTGCCAAAAAAGATTCCTACTTTTTAAACAAAAAAAATGTGCCTAGACAGGATGTTATGAATCTTTTGGAATCGGCAGGTTTTTCAAGGTCTAATCCTTATTACATAGTTAAGCAAGGAAAGGTAATTTTTAATTATAATTAAGTTATTTTAAATAATTTAATTACAAAGATATTTTTTCAATTTAATTATAATTTTTATTGATCAGATTAATCAAATGGCTACAGCTCCTGATTCTCAAAGACTAAAACTTTTGAGAGAGGTAGCTGGAACAAGAGTTTATGATGAAAGACGAGAGGAATCTCAGAACATTCTTCAAGACACCAAAACGAAAATAGCCAAAATTGATGATTTTTTGCATACAATCGATGAAAGATTAAAAACATTAGAAGAAGAAAAGGAAGAATTAAAAGAATACCAAAAATGGGATAAAGTTAGAAGATCATTAGAATATTGTATTTTTGATAAAGAATTAAAAGAGGCTCAAAAAAAATTGAGAGAGGTATAAAACATAGAATTTAAAATTTTTTTAATAATATTATATTACATTTTCAACATTTTTAAAGCTGGAAGATCACAGAAAAAATTCAAATGAAGTTCAAAATAAGCTTAATAACGAGTTGAAAAAGTCTCAAGATGAAGTTCATAAAGCTAGTCAGGCATTACGTAAAGCGAAAAAAGATGTCACAGAGGCAAAATATCAGAGAGATGCATTAAGTTCTGAACAGGCTCAACTCCTTAAAGAAAAAACAAAGTTGGAACTTACAATAAAAGATTTGACAGATGAAGTTTCCGGGGATAATAAATCCAAAGAAAGAGCTGAATCGGAATTAAATAAATTAAAAGAACAAATTGATGAGAAAAAAAAACAATTGGAAAGAATAAAACCTCAGTATGAAGAAATGAAAAAAAAAGAAGAAAATTGCAATAGGGAGTAAGTATCTTTTATATTAAATAATTTATTTTAATATATTATATAATTATATTTTATTTTACACAGATTAGCATTAAAAGAACAAAAACGTAAAGAATTGTACGCTAAACAGGGAAGGGGATCTCAGTTTACGTCTAAAGAAGAAAGAGATCAGTGGATTCAAAAAGAATTGAAATTATTAAGGAAACAAATAAAAGACAAAGAAGAGCACAGGGATAAAATTGCTGCCGATTTGGAAAAAGATGCCAAGAGATCCGTGGAATTAGAAAAGGAAATTGAAGGGAGAACAAAAGACATGGAATTACTCAGAATGGAAATCGATAGGCATAATAAGGATTTTTACGAAATAAAAAAGAAAAAAGATCAACTACAAGTTAAAAGAGGGTAAATATTTTTAAAATTTAATATTTAACTTAATGTTAGTTAATGCTTAAAATTTAAAATTAATTTTTTTTTTAGAGAATTATGGCGAAAAGAAACTCAGTTGAATCAACAATTAACTTCTGCTAAAGAAGATCTCGCTAAGGCTGATCAAGCATTGCGTTCATTAGCTGGAAAGGTAATTTACATGTTTTTTCCGGGATTTAAGTACAAAAATAAAAATTAAATAAATAATATTTTCAGCCCACTTTAAATGGTCGAGACAGTGTATGCAAGGTATTAGAAACGTTTCGGGAAAGGGGTGGTCATTGGAAAGAAATCGCGGATAAATATTATAATCCAGTCATCGAAAATTTCACTTGTGCCGAGAATATTTACACCGCCGTGGAAGTTACAGCCGGTGCCAGATTATTTCATCACATAGTCGAATCTGATAGAGTGGGAACGGAAATTTTAAAAGAAATGAATAAGCAAAAGTTGCCTGGAGAAGTTACATTCATGCCTTTAAATCGATTAATAGTTAGGGAGCAAAGTTATCCGCAGACGGAGGTAAGAAAATGTGCGCAATTAAAAATTTTCACCGATTTCGAGTACTCGTTATATTAATCTCTCATTCATATTTATGTAGGACGCTATTCCCATGGTATCGAAGTTAGTTTACGAGCCCAAGTACGAAAAAGCCATGAAATATTTGTTTGGAAAAACCCTCATTTGTCGAAATTTAGAATCGGCCACGAATTTAGCTCGTAGCACCGGCCTCGATTGTGTTACACTAGACGGTGATCAGGTATCTTCCAAAGGATCTTTAACCGGAGGATACTTTAATAGTTCTCGCTCTCGTTTGGAAACTCAGAAAAAGCGTACGGAGCATAAGACTGAAATGCGAAAAATAGAGGATGAATTAAACGAGCTTAAAAATGAAATGAAAGCAATGGAACAGGAAATTAGTGCCGTGGTATCGGATTTGCAAAAAACGGAAAATAAAAACGCCAAACATAAGTAAATACAATTTATGATGCTTAAAATTAAAAAAAAAATGGTATGGCTACAACAAATTTAAAAATTTCAGAGATAATTACGATCAGTGCAAAAGTCAAATAAGGTTGATGAAAGAAGAATTGCAAGGTATCGAAAGGTATAAGAACCCGAAGGAAAGATCTCTCACTCAATGCACGTCCAGTTTGGAAGCAATAAAGACTACGAAAGAAGGTTTGGAAAATGAGCTGCATCAAGAATTAATGGAGCAACTGTCGAGAGAAGACCAAGAGGTTGTCGATCAATTAAACGACGACATAAGGAGACTAACGCAAGAAAACAAGGAAGCATTTACGATGAGAATGAGATTGGAGGCTGAAAAAAATAAATTGGATAATTTACTGACAAATAATTTAATTCGTCGACACGACGAATTAATTCAAGCTCTACAGGAAATTTCGGTCGAAGATAGGAAAAGACAATTGGAAAATTGCACACTCGAATTGGGTAACGTGGAAGCGAGAATCGCGGAAGTGAATAAGGATTTCAAAGCGATGGAAAAAAGAGTGAAAGAAGCCACGGATAAGGTAAATAAATATAAAATGTCTCTGAATCATTTATACGAATAAGAGTATTAAAATTATTTTTCGTTTCACCCCTTTTTGGCAGCAAAAAAGAGAACAGGGAGCTTTGGAAGAATGGAAAAATAAAGAAAAAATCGCACAGGATAAAATCGATGAAGATTCAAAAGGATTGGAGAAAATTTCAAGCAAAGAAAATGCATTGAAAACTAAAATAGAAGAAGCTCAAAATAAGATAACGGAAATGGGTTCGGTACCATCGGTTGAACTGATACAAAAATATCAGCAACAAAATCAAAAATACGTAAGACGATCGTGCAAAATGTAATAAAATTTTCCTAAAAAAAATAGTCATCACGACACAAATATTTATTTATTTACAGCTTTTTAAAGAGTTGGAAAAAGCAAACAACAACCTGAAAAAATACAGTCACGTGAATAAGAAAGCGTTAGATCAATTCATTAGTTTTTCCGAACAAAAAGAAAAACTTTACGAAAGAAAAGCCGAACTCGATCGAGGGTATGATTTTTTTTTTTTTTTTTTTAAATACCTAAATTCCTGATTTAATTTTCACGCGCGTATATTTGTGCAGAGAGGAAAAAATTCAAGAACTTTTAAATCATTTGGAAACGAGGAAAACGGAAGCCATACAATTCACGTTTAAACAAGTCGCGAAATATTTTTCTGAAGTTTTTAAAAAGCTCGTACCTCAGGGAAGTGGCGAACTCGTCATTCATTCCAACAGGAGCAGTTCTAGTGCCACGAACGAATCTTCGGTATGAATAGAATTTTGTCCGTTTTTATGAATTTCAATGGGTTTCCGTTCTCATCGTTTATAAATTTATGTTATTTTTAGTTGGACGTCACGTCCGCGGACGAGTATACCGGCGTCGGAATTAAAGTTTCGTTTACGTCAACAAAATCTGGAGAAATGAGAGAAATGAATCAATTATCCGGTGGTCAAAAATCATTGGTTGCTCTCGCGCTAATTTTTGCCATTCAAAAATGCGATCCTGCGCCATTTTATTTATTCGACGAAATCGATCAGGTATATTTTATAGTGTTTTTCCCCGCTTTGATGTCGTCATACTAAAATAAACTTTAGGGTCTACGATTTGTAACAAATGATTTTGCAGGCATTGGATGCACAACATAGAAAAGCCGTCGCAGACATGATTCACGAATTATCTAAAACGGCTCAATTCATCACGACCACGTTTCGTCCCGAATTACTGGAACATGCACATAAATTTTACGGAGTCAAATTTCGGAATAAAGTAAGTCACGTGGATTGCGTTTCGCGGGAAGATGCCTACGATTTTGTTGAAGATGACACGACTCACGGATAAATTTTTATTTTTTTATTTTTTTAAAATAAAAAATTTAATTTGGTAGTGGCTTGGGTTATTTTCTAAAATAAAACTGGATTATGCATTTAAAACAATTCACCGGCGGATTTTATGTTATTTGTATGAAAAAAAAAAAAAACATTTTACGTTTTAATCACACGTGTAACGACTTTTAGTTGATTTTTTTTTTGCATTTCTAAATATTTTATATAACATTAATTTGTTTTAATTTTATTCAAATATTGACTTTCCGTTTTAAAATTTCTTATTCGGTAAATTTTATATTTTTTTTTTTTTTTAGGACTTGAATTAATTGTTTTTATTTATTTTTTAAAAAGTAGACTAAAAATTTTATTTTACTTACTTTTTCTTAACTTAATTATACTTTTAATTATTATTTATGTTTACGGGTTTTAAAAACCTTCATTCCGATCCTCCTGTCGTAATTATTTATTATATTATTTTTAAACTGTTTGATTTAAATCGTTTTTTAATATTAATCCTCCATATAAAATCATTTTGTATATTTTAAGGGTATTATTATAATTACATTTTGAAATGAAATAAATTTTGTTTTAATATTATTTATTATGATTTATTTTATTAATTAAATTTTTTTAAAATATATATTTAATAAGTTAATTTATTAGAGAAAAGAAATGGCTCGTATTTTCAAGGTTTTTTTTTTAAATAATGATATTCAAAAACAATATGGCGGACTTTTTTGGCTAATGGCTTTGCTCTTCTTCACTCGTGACCTTTATAGTAGCAAATCAAGTGAGTCGAATGAAAACAATTCGTTGTAAAAAATTTTTTCACGGATTTTTTTTTTATTGTTACAACCGTAGATGGTTTTTATTTGATAAAATGTAAAAGTTTTTAACAATCAGTTAATCATTATGTTAAAGTAATTTTAATTATGGAATTGGATATTCCACTAAAAAAAGGATATTTGTTGTTT